TAGGAAAATTGCCAATTCGGGAAGCAGGAAAGCTGAGAGGCAGAAATTTTAAGGAAATATTTCCTGACCAAGTACCATGTAGTTGCACAATTAAGTTCCTAAACTTCGAGGACCTGTATGACTATAAATTCTAGCTACTGGGATCCCAAGCGATCTTACAACAGCACGAAATACTGCAAAAACGCATGATCGCATGGGCCAGCCCGGTGTGCGTCGCCAATGATTTTTATTCCTTCGCGCTGGCACTCTCAAATGCGTTGCGCAGATAGTCCCAGCATTACAGTCAACATTGTTAAGCAGCATGACCTAGACCCGGCTAAGCAGTGCTAGCAATATTACTAGGATAAACTCTCAAGCTCAGACGTTTATCAATCAATAAAGTTAAATTTAGGCTCAATAACGTTGCTGGAAAATGGAAATTTTATGTATATGTGTTCCCTGGATGTTTCCAAAGTAGAACATTTGAGTGACGGAAAATTGCACATGAACGATATGCAGTTGTGCGATGGCACACGCGATCTCGTTTTGATCAATCAGTCAAGGCTTTCTCAAATCAAATACAAGTGATTGATCTAGATTCGCAAAAAATTTCGCTAAATTTATGCGCAGATTTAAACTTTTATTTCCAAAAAATACGAAAGATAGCAAGAATGTCTGAACAAACAGTCTGGATATCTCAAGTTAGTGATGTTACTGAGATGCTCCCACACTCGGTGTCAGCTTCTTGTAAGTCATCTGAATGGTCGTTTGCTTCCTCGCAAGTACCATTCACTGGCAAGCAACGTTTGCTATGGGTAAGCCATTTGTTATATTTTTAAGATTTTTATAGTTGGATTTCCTACAATTTGCCTTAAAATCAATTAGAATTGAGCTTACCTAAGGCCTGCTTGATGATCAGAGATTGCGAAAATAATTGTATTACAGTGAGGAGCTGGAAGAAAAGAAGAAAAATCTGAGTAAGTTAACTGACCAAATAACGGACGAGAAGCGCAAATCTGACGAACTGCTTTGTGAGCTGGTACCACCATCTGTGGCCGAAATACTGCGCATGGGAAAGCCTGTCGAAGCACGTATGATATCTTTTTATACTAACCTAATCATGAAGGTTTTCGATTTGAATTCAGAAACAACAAGCCCTCTACTTCTCTTGCTTTTCCAACTCAGCAAATACACCAAAATGCAAGCTAGCAGGAGCTGGATGAGTGCGGGAATTTAGGAAGCAAATATAACTTTTTTCCCAAAACGTTAAAAAAATCAGCGTTGCTTTTATTTCTAAAAAAATCGCAATAACAGCCCAGGAAGTACAAGTATTGTTTTATTCTCGTAACATAGTTGTTCTGTGCAGCTGGCAACTTAATTACTACAGTTGTTGCTTTGACCAACATTGCAGCATTTATTGGTCAGCCTGCTGACGATCCATGAAATTTTCTTCATTTATTGAAAAAATCACTAGCTCAACAGTTTTTCGGGCAGAAGCATGTGTGAATTGTATCACTGTTCCCATATTGCAGCATATTATTATTTTCATCTGTTCTTGAATTTAATTCCTGTTAGGCTTTTTTGATATGCCAGTAAAATGAATATGGTTTTCGCCCTTCGATAATC